AATTTTTTTTTTTTTTTTACTTTTTATAACCAGAGCACACACCTCCTGAGTGCACACAGCTCTGAGACTGTGGTGTCACTGACATCGCTGGGCTCACTCTAATGATCAGGATCCATTCAGTGTGGTTGTTAGTCATGACAGCTTATTGTGGTGATCACATGAGGTTTCTTTAAAAACACGCAAACTAGGCTGGAGCTGTCACCATGAATTACACTGTGAAAAAATATTAACGTGTAAAAAAATTTACCATGGTTCACCCAACACCCGCCCACCAATTTCAACTGACTACTGTTCTCTAACCAATACTGAAGCAAGGACTCATCACCACTCTTGCTATTTCCCATTTTTTTTCTTTTTCCTGCTTTTTTTAAAAACTTTTTTCTTCATCCTCCATTGCTCCCTCTACTCCGAACCCCCTCATCCTTCCCAAACTCCACCCCTCCCCATTTTCTCCTCTCATAAGTGAGCACCCCTTGCCCCTGATTAGCTCCTAGTGCTCTACACATCCCATTGAAACCATACAGACTTCTGCTGTGTCAGTACAACTTTGATTTCCAATGTTCTGAATGACCGCTCAGTTTAGTCTTCCTTTAAATTGCTGTATAATCCAGATTTAGAGGTGGTGTAAAGCTGGACATACTCTGATCACATTTTCGGCTGTTTGCTGCGGATCTGGCCAAAATTATATCCGTGGATGGCACTGCCTGGACCACCCAGCTCAACAATAAAATGTTTTTTTGTTTTTTTTATTGACTTAAGTTGTAGATGTTGGGTGGAAAATTGTCATGTGAACAGTGACTGCAGTCAATCAGCCACAGTCAGTGTCTGAGTATCCTGTGTGCTGGCTGTCGGAATACAATAGCCAGCTGGGGATATCAAACAATCCATTTGCATCCAGTCAAGCAGGTCTTAGTAAAATCTACCAATAAGTGATCAGATTTTCCCTCATTTGGCCAGGTTGGTTATCCTGACACCGGTTAAGAGGTGATTATTGCTATGGTTACCATGCGATTCTTTTCCACAAAAATCTCTTGCTGCATTTCAACTTTTTCTGTTACAAAATAGAAACTTGTGCTGATTGGAACTAAAGCTGTGCAGTGTAAAATGACATAATATACACTTTCTAGCCAGAAGAAGCATCATCGGGTTTCTCTGTTGTTTGAGGAAGACGAAGAGCCTTTATTTTCCCCAGCAGGGAGCTCCACCAAAGCCACAGGCCAAACTTTGGTAAGTGACACACAGCGGGGCTACAGGGAACTGTTTTTTCTTTTTCTCTACAGGCAATGATGGAGCTGAATTGGGAAGTGCTGTGAGAACAGCAGAAATGATGTATCGATGCAGGTTGACACTGCATGTTACTGACTCGCACTGAGATCCAATTTTCTTCCAAACCTAAAGGCCCTGACATTACTTTGCTTATAACTGTGCATACAAGGGGCAATCAAAGATTACATACAATGACCTAGAAGCAAATTAGCAAAACAAGTTATATTAATCTGCTTTTTCAACATGGTCCCCATGCATTTTACTTATGTTCTCTTTACTGCTTTAGGTTAGGTACAGGTGAAACTCGAATAATTAGAATATTGTGCAAAAGTAATTGCAGTAAGTGCTGCAAAAGGGGCCCAAACCAAGTACTGAGTACATATGCATGCTTGTACTTTTCAGAGGTCCGATATTGTTCTATGTACAATCCTTGTTTTATTGATTGCATGTAATAATCTACTTTTTTGAGGTTGTGGATTTGGGGTTCTTGGGGTTTTCATGAGCTGTAAGCCATAATCATCACAATTATGACAAATCACAGCTTGAACTATCTTGCTTTGCATGTAATGAGTCTATCTCATATATTAGTTTCACCTTTTAAGTTGCATTAGTGAAATAAATTAACTTTGCACGATATTCTAATTATTCGAGTTTCACCTGTATGTGTCTGTCATATCTTTATTTGCACAGAAGCATATAAAAAAATCCTGCATTTTTTTTCTAGCCACTCTGTTTGGGCTACAGTCTGATAATAAGTTGCCCTATTTAACCATACAATATGAGGCAGAGGTCTCAAGTTGTTAGGAGCGATCCTATAGAAAATTCTGTAGATCTCTTAGTTGCATCTATTAGAACATGTAGGTTGTCTTATTTGTTTTTGTAGCACCAAACATATTCCTAAATGCTTTGAGGAATTGACATCAGTCCCTGCCCCCAGTAGAGTTATTCTTATTGGCTCGATCACATTCATACACATACTCTACATCCAATTTAAGATGGCCATACACCTTGCAACCATCGCACGACTTTCGTTGTGCGATGGTTGTAAAGTGATTAAAACTTCGTACGTCCTGCACATCTTGGACAGCAGATCGTACTTGCTATCATCGCAAGCCCTCCCTGCTGAGGGGAGGGCTTACAGATTATTGCAATGGTGAGCAGGCAGTGTGCGCTTGTGCTCCTCGGCCCGTGCTGCTTTCTTCTTGCGATCACGCTACCAACCCGCCAAAAATCGTATGATTTTCGCCGGGTTTTCTAGCATGCTCGTAAGACGAAAGTCGTGCGACCTTACAGCTTATGCGGTCGCACGCTGCCCATACACCTGCCGATTATCGGACGATAATCTAAAGCTGTACGTGCAGCTTTAGATGGAAGCTGATTAGCTTACCAGTGTGTTAAGCTCATCTTTATCTATGCTGTGACTCACCGAAATGTTGGTGAATAAAGCCTTTTGCAATATATAATTGCCTTTTAAAAGTGTGTGTGTGTGTATATATATCTATATATCTAT